CCTTCTCAGTTTTGTATTTGTATTCGAGAGCGTTCTAAATCTTCACCGGAGACTCCATCGAGTTGTAAAGATCGTAGAGCCTATCGGAGATAGTGTTGAGAATATGACCCCGACACATGATTTTATCATCTCCTCGCTTCTTCCTTGCGGTCTTCAATTCTTCAGAATCATCCTCCTTTGGTTCAGGAAGAGGCTCCAATTTCGGATCAAGTACGTAGGCGATCTTAAGCACGGTGAGAAGGAAGAATAACTTTCCTTTTCAACGGGTGAAGGTGGTACCATCAAAACGATCAAGTTGAATATTAGGATTGAGGAAAGATGTCATGTTCTTTTCAACCTCCATTGCAACAAATAAAACCTTAAAGATTGTTGGAGAAAATTCAGAATTGGGAGGATGAAAAGAATAGAGAAAAAATAAAAAGAGGGTTTAAGGCGTATAGGAATACTTTCCTTGGTTTGAGGCGTATAGGAATACTTTCCTTTAAGGTTTTATTTGCCCTCACTTCTCAAAGTTTGCTAACGAGTTTTAAAATGGCAAATTACCCCCAAGATACAACAAACCCTTGAACACAATATCTAGCAAAAATATTGAGTTCCAGAACAATAATGAATCTATATTTTCTGAAGTCTATCAAATAAAGACAAGGATGCTTCCATCCTCTTAAAGTGTTACAACCTTTCACATAAAGATACCTCTTCAATTTGAAGGTTATCTTTTATATGCTAATGCACTTATATTAATAGTTATTTCTATTGTTAATAAGTGTTCAGATATGTGAGAAAATATATCACAAATAGATGCAACGGTTCGAGACCTTTTCAGATCACTAAAACACACGAAAACACGTTTTCCGTTAGTAACATACGCTGCAGCGGATGACATTCACGCTGCAGCGCTCGGGATACGCAAAACAGACCTATTTTGTACGCGCTGCAGCGCCCAAAAGGCGTGTTGCAACGCGTCCATGCGCTGCAGCGCACGCTGCTGTGCGCTGCAGCACTCTTGCTTTGCAAAACAGACCCGAGAGGTCTGTTTTGCGCAGGCTGCAGCACCCAAGAGGCTCGCTGCAGCGCGTCCGTGCGCTGCAGCGCACGCACCTGCGCACTGCAGCGCGCGCTCCTACGCACTGCAGCGCGCGCTTGTGCGCTCCTGTTCTTCCCGAATGTGTTTTAGGCCAACTTTGTGATATCAAAATTGAGAGATATATTACAATCTCTCTAACAGATGCTCTTCACTAGTTCTTCACAGTCACTTTCAAACATGCTTGCAGCGGCGCTCCGAAGCTCGCATGGTTGTTGGCACACGGAGGAGTAGCGTTTGATGGTGCCGGCAGCCGTCGGAGTGTGATGGGTGGCTCAAGGATGATAAGCTTTATCAACGTTAGGGTTTTTTTTTTTTTTTTTGCCTTCAAATGTAATTCAATGGAGGGCTGAGATTAGGTTGCCTTACATCAACGGTAGAGATTAAAAAATATTAGTTTTGTCTTAGGGTCAGTTTAGTTCGTTGATTCAAGTTTTTAATTTAAATTGAGATATAATTTTATGTGATAATTTTTTATTGTAACAAAAAAGTTAAATATGATTGCTTCTGATAGTTTTTTACTGTAGCAAAACTCAAATTTTAAACTTAAATTGGTGAAATGAATGGGATCTTAATTTTTTTCATAACAAGAATTTATTACTTTAAAATTATTTTTTTAAACTTTTAATACATGCTATGTCGACAAAATAGTTAAAATTATAAATGGAAATGGATGGAGGGGCAATTTAATTTATTTTCTATATATCACAGGGAGGGGCAATTTGATCTATTTTCTATATATCACAGGGTGTTTTGAATCATTTTGAAAAATTAGAAGGTATTTTAAAACAATGTATATAGATTAGGAGGAGATATTTATGAAAATAATCCTTATTTAAATTATGTAGTTTTTAAGATTCTGCCATTTCCATAGATATTGCCATTTCCTAAAATATTGTTGTTGTTTAAGCTATTGTCGTTTTATGTTGTCAAAGCACATTCTTATTTTATTTTATTTTTTAGAAAGATGTTATATAGTTTTCCCAAGATGATGTTCAAATATCAATACATTCCAAATTATCGTTGTTTTTGTGATTTCGATTTTTTGTTAAGATTGTGTCGTTTATTATGAATTGTTATCGTTTCCCATGGTACGGTGTATTGAGTAGCCGGTTGTCGTTTCTCATAATATTCGTGCCTCGTACTCGGTTTGGCCTTCCACGGAAAAAGTTGAGAGCAATAAAATCCCCTAGAAATAATTTGTATCCGCCAAGCTATTAAATGCAATAACTTCAAGGCATCTGCAGATGCACATTAGTAGCCTTCCACGAAAAAGACTTAGAAACATTTTTATTATGATTGGAAAAGATAATCATGAGCTATCTTTCTTACAATATACAGCTTATGCATTGTAAAAAATTAATGAAGATACATGACCAAAAGAGAGGCATATATATATATATATATAT